TATATATATATATATATATATATATATATATATATACACACACACACATTTTTTAACGAGCATATATTAGTCTAATAAGCAGAAAAATACAAGTAAAAACAAATCATGATTAGTAAAGCGTTTCATAATTATTTTTAAATTTCTTAACATAATGAATGATGGATATAGCTCTAATTTATCCATCCTTATTCATACAATGTATGAATTAAAGTTCATCTACGTTACGGATGAACAGCATAATCAGAGTTTTCACTGGTCATAACTTCCTTTCCAAACTCTGCTGCTCGACTCCAGGCACAGTGTGACATCCATGGGTGAGAATCAACTCACTCGGCCAGGCGTGTGTCAGGAAACCACCCGGTGTCCCCTGGCTGCTGTGACACCAGGTACCTGAGCAGACAGAACAACTGCGGGAGGAGAAGGCAGCCCTAGATCATCCACTCTTGCCAGAGTTTGGAAAGGAAGATTCCACAATCTCTGAAGATTCACTGACTTCCGTCGTTCTCCCCAAATCTGAGGTTTACAAAGTAGCCAAGATGCTCACACAGGGAGAGAGAAGGATATACTCTGCACAGAGAACAGAGGTAAAAGGGATCAGCTGGAACATCTCTGGATTTGAGGAGAAGGAAGGCGGCCAAGGGTAAGAGACATTCGGGACAAGTCTCAGTCAGGGATGGGGGTGCTGCTCTCAGGCCTCTCTGCCGCCGCCCGCACGCTCCACCCACGCACAGGAGCTCACACAGCTGAGTTGCCCAGGCCTTTCCTGTCCTCTGCTTATACCTCTATAGTTTCTTTAGCGGCTAGAGGCTGGTCTCAACACCCCTAGCTAGAAAACAGGCAGGGGATCCTGGGGCCAGCGATTGCCAATAGTGAGCACGTTATTATAAAGACGGAGGAAACCGCGGCTTTGAAAAGGGATGGGAGGAAAAGGACTAAATTTTCCAAAATGCAAATTTTTTCTTCTACCTTCCCCCATCATTTGCGCAATTTTTGTCAAGTCCAAACGTAATTTAAAATGAGGTAGGTAGTTTCTCTCTACTCGTGCCTTCATCTTTGTGTTGACTGTTGAGGCCTGTGCCATGAAAGCACTAGTGTGCCATGAAAGCACTAGTGTGCCGTGCAGGGGGAGCACCAAGTGTGGCATCAGTGACTGCAGGAGCTTCTCAGTTGGCTATTTTCTCTATCTCGTCCAAGTCATCTGTGTCCAGTCTTTCTATTTTCTTATCTGGGGGAAAGAAAAGAGAATTCAAAGAGAGACCAACATGGGGTTACAGAGACACACACTCAGGGAAGGGACAGCACGGCAAGGAGGGAGGAAACACAGGTCTCTGCTGCCTAGGAACGTGCTGTGCCTCTGGCCACAGAGATCCTTCACTGAACCCCAAAGGCTTCCAGTGACTGAGCAAGGGACACGGACACCAACAGCCAGAGCCCCAGGCCCCTCAGCCTGGCCAGGGGGGACTGTCATTCAAGTCCCTGAGCCCTGAGCTCTCCAGGTGTGCTCTTTGAGAACTTCCACATTGTAGGGAAGGTGGGGAATGGACCAGAGACAAAGGCCTCGCTCGGGGCCACAGGAAAACCTACCCTTCACCCTCCCCTCCCACCCCGGACTTGCCCCTGTAAGGTAAGGGCCCAGCAGGGGACACTCCCAGGGACTCACTGAAATGCTCCTGGATTCTGTTCAGGATGTTCATGCTGTGCTTGCTGTCCACCATGTTCACGGCCAGGCCCCTCTTGCCAAAGCGGCCGGTGCGCCCGATCCGGTGCAGGTAGGTCTCGTTGTCCGGGTTCCCATCCTTGTCCACGGGAAGGTCAAAGTTGATGACAACAGACACCTGTTCCACATCGATACCTGCATGAAGGAGAGTCGGACAGGAGTAAGGATGGGACACAGAAATCGCTGTCGTCCACAGTCAGGCCTACACGCACCAACCTCAGGTGGAAGGAACAGTCTGGGATGGGCCAGCTCTGGGATTCAGACAAAGGGGCAGGTAGCAGAACCCAGAGGGAGAAAACAGAACTGTGGCAGGTGCTGACCAAATTATGAAATCAGCCATCAGGCTCCAGAGAGCCTCTGCTGGATACCAGTATCTGGAGAAGCAGCCAAAGCCTCACTGGGGGCCCCAAGAAGAGCAGGTGCCGTTCTAAGCCACCAAGTCAGGACTCTGGCTTCTGTGAAAGTTCTCCTCTGCTGAGGGAATACAAACAGGCTCTTCTAGAAAACAGGATCTCCCGCAAACCACCGGAGTGTCCCGCAGACGAGGATCTCTCCCGCTACCCTGAGCCTGCAGACCAGGACACAATCTCTGCTCACCGCGGGCACACACGTTGGTGGTGACCAGAACCTTCTCTTTGCCCTCTCGGAAGCGCTCAATCACTGCAGCCCTCTGCTCCACCACCATTTCACCACTCAGCAGAGCCACCTGGTGGCCTTCTTTTGAGAGCTCTGCTGCCAGCCAACTAGCTGTTTTGCGGGTCTGGAGTGAAAAGAATTGTTTTAAGTGAAGATACCTGTAAAAAAACCAATGAAGACACCTGCAGAAAAGTGGCTTGTTGCCATTAATATATATGAAGGCTCTACTGAGTTCAGTCAGCAGTTTAGGCTTAAAGTTTCTGAATATTTTTTAGCCATGTGATTTTTTTTGGATAAATTCCTTCAATGAAGACTGGTTTGAGCCAAAGGTCTTCATTCCTAAATACTCTATATTATTAAAACTTTAAAATTATTTTCCTGGATGTTATTGGGAGGTTTTTTTCCCAAGTTATCTCTAAGAAGTGGGACCAAAGAAGGTTCAGATCTTCAGTCTTCCCCTTACAACTCATTACAACCTGCGAGAATATGTCCTGGGGCAGACGGAGGTGATTCATTTCCTTTCCAGCCACAGGGAAGGGACCTGGTCCCCCAGCACGAAGTGGAGCTGGCTGAGAGGGAGGGTGCAGGGCCACACCCTCCAGTGGAGCTCCTCCCCCGCAGGCCGCCTCCTGCTGCCGCTGCTACTCACATGGCAGAAGATCATGGCTTGAGCAATGGTGATGGCCCCGTAGATATTACACAAGGCCTGGAACTTCTCATCTCTGCTATTGCACAGGACGTAATACTGCTTGATGGTGTCCAGTGTCTCCTCCTCGCGCTTCAGTTTGATGATGTTTGGGTCTGGGACCACTTTCTGGGCAAATTTCCAGACAGAGTCTTCGAAGGTGGCAGAGAAAAGCAGCATCTGGCAGTTCCTGGGAAGCATCCTGCAAGGGAAGGCCCAGGTGTTCGACATGACCCCGACCGAGTGTTTCACTGGAAGGAACAGAAGCACAGCCTCCCCAGGCTTGGATGACCTGCGCCCCCAGGAAGGTGGCAAAGCAGGGAGGAGCACTGCAGGGAGGAGGGAGGAGCAGACGTGGGGCAGGGATGGGTGGTGGTAGAGTCCCTAAGTCTCCTTCCTCAACCCAGGCTGGGGGTATGGTCAGTGCGACATGGAAATGGCCCACCAAACAAATGCCTCTGAAAGCTGCAGAGTAAAGAACCTGGCAGGGGCAAGAAGAGGAGGGTGAAGTAAAAGGAGATGATGCTGCAGGTCAGGAGGCCGAGAAGTTCCTCCTGGCTCATGAGTTCCTACCTCTGGATGCGGATGCTCTGATCTTGGTGGCCCTGAGTAGCTATCATCACGTCAGCCTCATCCAGAACAAACACCTTGATCTTCTTGGGGTCGATGAACTTGAGCTTGGAGCACCAGTCCAGAACGGTCCCAGGGGTGCCAATGACAATGTGCTCACTGATCTTCTGTCCTCTTTCCACTGTGGAGACAAGATGTGTTCTGTGGGTACTTCCATGGCTAAACCTGCTTTCAAAATGAAAGCCTCCTTGCCCATCCTTCCAGAGCTAGAACAAGTTAATTCCAGATTTCAAACCACAGGGGTGTTACCCAAGTTTTGTGTTCTTCTACTGTAAAATGGGCATAATGACACCTATCTCACTGCACTGTGGTCAGGATTAAATCCTACACAGTCAACCCTCCATGAGTGTTAGTTTCCCTTTTTCTACTTTCTCCTATAATCCCCATCACCCAATTCTTTCTCTTTAGCATAACACTTATTCTTTTTATACCATCCCTTCACTCATGGTTCATTGATTTCCTTATAAATTGGTAGTTTTGAGTCCTAGGATCCTGGCCCAGTGACTTTTTGCTTTGTTAGAGATTCTAATTGTGTAGACAGTTTTCCTAAGTACAAATTCTCTTTGATTGAAAAAAACATATTACTCTCAAACTATAGCTGGTGGGAGTTGAAACTGATATAACCATCTATCAAAATTACTAATGCATGTAGCCTTTGACCAGTGCTTCCACTATTAAGAATCAATCCTGTATGTACATGAATATGTGTGAAATAACATATATACAAGGATATGCATTCATTAAAACATAACTAAGCAAAATATGACACACCGAATGGATGACACCAACAAAAATATAAAACTGTTTAGGAATTGATGTGGAACAATCTCCAAAATACATTATTAAATGTGAAAAAGAGGTTGCAGAGCAATATGTATACCAATAGGGGCAAAAAAGAATACATGTAATATATGTACATGCATGTGTGAGTGTTCTATCTATCTATCTCATCTATCTCTATTGCCGTGCCATGAGGGATGCAGGATCTTAGTTCCCCGACCAGGGATCGAACCCGTGCCCCCTGCAATGGAAGCGCTGAGTCTTAACCACTGGACTGTCAGGGAAGTCCCTATGCGTTATCACATTATCACTTGCCTGTAGCCACACAGACTATCTCTGGTAGGACATGTGAGGAACGGGTTAGTACTGGGTGCCTTTAGGCAGGCAGAACCAGGTGGTTGAAGGGTATGGGAAAAGAAAAGTTTCTACCATATATCCTTTTCAATTTTGAAACATGTGAATGTCAACTATTTTCAAAACAAAATTTAAAGTTCGAGGAGAAAGGGACTTCGGTCAGGAATTCATTAACTCCACTGGAAAAGTTTTAAATGAACTCTTCAATACCTTGTGGTTCTCACTGTCCACTGCCCATCAGTCTAAACTGAACTTTAAAAAAAATGATACCTTAAATAGTTAATATACTAATCCTTCACATAGTAAAGTCCCCTGTTATTATAAAACAATCTAGAGAAGATCCATGTTGTCTCAAGATTCTGGTACACTACACTTAGCTGCACCTATCAGTGTAAGACATCAAATACACACAAAAATACTAATAATTTCTGGTTAAAGTACTCTTTCTGCATGCTGAAACATGATGGTTTCCTCCAGGAAAAGCCCTTGTGTGATTATTTGTATGGTAACTGTACTAGCCATTTTTGTTTGTTGAACGACAGACAAACTACAGAAAATCAAACGGGGAATTCCCTGGCGGTCCACTGGTTAGGACTCCGCGCTCTCACTGCCAAGGGCCCAAATTCGAACCCTGGTCGGGGAACTAAAGTCCCACAAGCCGCACAGTGCAGCCAAAAAAGAAAATCAAGTAGGGAATTTGATACACACTTTCTTGAAAATGAACAGAGAGTCTATCACTTAAATGAAAACAACTGACTCTTATTTGTTGTCATGATAACGTTTCAGCTTAAGGGAAAATTAGAATTTTGGAACACTTCTATGTGCTGCTGTAGGTTTGAGAGTTTCTCCATGTATAAACTCCTCTGAGTTGGTTGGTGGTGATATTAATGCATTTTAAGTGCTATTTAAAATTTTGTATTATGAAATATGTCAACATTTGGAAGATCAGCATAACTCAGTAAGACAGTATTTTCCAAATGACCAAGATATGATGTTAGAAAACCACAGTTGGGCAAAAGATGCATTCAAAGTGCAAGGGAGACCAAGGAATTTTAATGTAACAGTACAAAGAATTCATTAATATGATTTCAGATATCACATGGCAACTAACTTTTAAGTAATTACCACTTGTTAATAAGTTTTGGTATGGCATCCAAAAAAACAGTATCTAAAATTATAAGAAAGGATAGATTTTCTTCATATTCTTCCAAAGTCAGTACTTGGGGTCCTCAATAATCTTTAAGAGTGTACAAGAGCAAAAAGTTTAAGAACCACTGCTCTAGGCGATTGTAAACTGCTGGGTTGAAGGGATGTCTCTCTTCCATTTTTCTAGGCAATGCCAACTGCTTCTGGAAGTCAGTGTGCCAATGCATACTCCCCACTGGAGCACGTGAGCCTTCCAGTTCTTCTACATCTTGGTCAACACTTGGTTTGTCAGACTTCCTCATTTCTACCATCTGAGAGGCATGCAGTGGTTTCACTTGATGTTTCCCTGATGACTAATGAAGCTTATCATCTTTTCACATTCACTGGCCATCTGAATTCCTTCTTTTGTGAAGCATCTGTTCAACTGGGCCTCTCTCGTCCATTTTCCTATTGGAATGCTTACTTTTTTCTAATTGATTTGTAGTTTTTTATATTCTGATAACTTCTCCATTACCCATTTTCTACCTGCCCCTCCTCCCATTTTAACCCATATTTTCTACATTCTACAGAACACGTGAAAAAAGAATTGGTGGAAGGATTTCTGATTTGGTAAGAGCAAGTGAACTGTACGTGCTCTTAGATTACTCTTACTAAAGCTGTGCTTTACTGTTAAAGAAAGGGAACTGACCCAACCTACCATCTTCAGTGCTCATCCCTCCCTCGTAAGCAGCTTTCAGAACCGTGGATGCTGAATTCAAGCCCTGGCTCCTCAGTGAAATACTCCACACTTGAAGAACCCCAGGACTCAGGCAGGGATTTTTTTTTTTAACAACTAAAAATCTTATTTTAGGAGTGGAGAGAATTATTAACAAATCAGCAAGTATTTAAGTAGATTTGCTAAAGGCAACCCTGGGCTCCAAGGTCAGACTGAACTAGAAAGTTGAATATCATCACCTCATCTTCAAAATTCATATACCCAACCACCCGCCGCAACTCACGGCCTAGGTCTTGCCCCTTTATACTCACATTTATTGCCTCGAACAGCATAAGCAAGCTTTAGTTCTGGATGAAATCTGCCCATCTGCTCAATCACTTTTCCTGTCTGAAGCGCCAGCTCATATGTTGGGGAGAGGCACAGACACTAACGGGCAGATCACAGAAGATGAGTTTAGGAGAGCCTTGTAGTAACAGACAACAGGCTCTAAAGCAACAAGTACACCGATGTCATTACCACTTGAACAGTGTAGGAAACCACATCCTCATCAACCAGGCCCACATTTCAGCTGTAGACAGAAGCCTTCAATAGGGAGCCCTGCCTTGGCAGATGCCTTCAGAAGCCACTGTTTAAGGCTGCTGCTTCCGAATCAATTCTACCCAGGTAAGGGCCTGGTGCACCACTGGGCTTTGCCTGAGCAACAGTCTGAGGCATCAGACGCATTCAGACTGTACCAGGGGCACCCTCATTAGACAAACCCCCCAGATGGCACAGCCATTCCCAGGACGAGCAAGCCAGGGCCCCCAGGATTCCACCCCCTCACCTGGGGGTATCTCTCTGCTGGTTCCACTCGGCTAAGCATGGCCAGGACGAAGGCAGCTGTTTTACCAGTACCAGACTGAGACTGGGCAATCAGGTTCTGTGGGCTGGAAGAAGGAAGAACAGAGATGAAAATAATATTGGTTAATAACAATCAAGTGTCGGGACTTCCCTGGTGGCATAGTGGTTAAGAATCTGCCTGCCAATGTAGGGGACACAGGTTCGAGCCCTGGTCTGGGAAGATCCCACATGCCGCGGAGCAACTAAGCCCGTGGGCCACAACTACTGAGCCTGCATTCTAGAGCCCATGCTCCGCAACAAGAGAAGCCACGGCAATGAGAAGCCTGTGCACCACAACAAAGAGTAGCCCCCGCTCGCTGCAACTAGAGAAAGCCTGTGCACAGCAACAAAGACCCAATACAGCCAAAAATAAATAAACAAATTTATTAAAAACAAAACAAAAAACAATCAAGTGTCCAAACGTTCTTTCTGGGTGGTAGGAATAGGGATTTTCCCCCTTCATGCTTCTATTATCCAGGTTTTCTGCACTGAGTACAATGATAAACTTTTTATATGATGTTAAAAAAAACTGCTTAAATATTAAGTGAAATGATTATTTTAGATGGGCTCACACTAAGAAATCCTCATTCTAGACTCTAGCACAGCTAGAGTGCCCTAGTTTTATACCCCAAGGGGCCTATGGAAATTAAGACTGCAGAGTAACATCTGTGTCCAGACAAATCCCTGAGCCATAATGTGTCTTCAGGACTCGGTTCCTACTATGTGCTCCCTTTTCTCATCTTTATGGAAAATTTAAGAGAACAAGTCAGATGCTTTAGAGGGAACTTTCACATTTCACTTCAGGTAACCCAATGTCATGGGAACAGGTGGCATTTTTTTTAAAATTTATTTATTTTTGGTTGCGTTGGGTCTGTTGCTGCGTGTGGGCTTTCTCTAGTTGCGGTGAGCAGGGGCTACTCTTTGTTGTGGTGCGTGGGCTTCTCATTGCGGTGGTGTCTCTTGTTGCGGAGCACGGGATCTAGGCGTGTGGGCTTCAGTAGTCGTGGCACGCGGATTCAGTAGTTGTGGCTCACAGGCTCTAGAGCGCAGGCTCAGTAGTTGTGGCGCACGGGCTTAGTTGCTCCACGGCATGTGGGATCTTCCCAGACCAGGGCTCGAACCCGTGTCCCCTGCATTGGCAGGCGGATTCTTAACCACTAAGCCACCAGGGAAGTCCTAGGTGGCATTTTTATCATTAAAAAAGAGGGACTTCTCTGGTGGTCCAGTAGTTAAGACTCCGAGCTTCCACTGCAGGGGGCACAGGTTTGATCCCTGGTCAGGGAAGTAAAATCCCACATGCTGTGTAGTGCAGCCAAAATATAAACAAACAAATAAATAATACAGTTGAATGAAAAAAGTTGCTAAGTATGATACCATTTATGTAAGGTTTAAAAATATGCAAACTTGGAATTCCCTGGCAGTCCAGTGGTTAGGACTCAGCGCTTTCACTACCGAGGGCCGAGGCCCGGGTTCAATCCCTGGTCAGGGAACTAAGATCCCACAAGCCACGCAGCGTGGCCCAAAAAAAACCAAACAATGAAAGCAAACTACGTAGTAAAAGGATAAAGAAACATGAGAGAAGGCTTCCCTGGTGGCGCAGTGGTTGAGAGTCCGCCTGCCTATGCAGGGGACGCGGGTTCATGCCCCGGTCTGGGAAGATCCCACATGCCGCAGAGCAGTTAGGCCCGTGAGCCATGGCCGCTGAGCCTGCGCGTCCAGGGCCTGTGCTCCGCAACGGGAGAGGCCACGACAGTGAGAGGCCTGCGTACCGCAAAAAAAAAAGAAACGAGAGAATAATAATGATGCTCACTT